CACCACACACACACACACACACACACACACACACACACACACACACACACACACACACACACACACACACACACACACACACACACACACACACACACACACACACACACACACATATACACAACACACACACATATATACCTATATATATATGTGTGTATCTACACACACACACACAAACACACACACACACATATATATGTATTATATATATATATATATATATATTATATATATATATATATATATATATATATAATATATATATATATATATATATATATATATATATATATATATATATATTATAATATATATATATATATATATATATATATATATATATATATATATATATATATATATATATATATATATATATATATATATATATAGTATATATATATATATATATATATATATATATATATATATATATATATATATATATATATATATATATATATATATATACATATATATATATATATATATATATAATATATATATATATATATATATATATATATATATATATATATATTCATACACACACACACACACACACACACACACACACACACACACACACACACACACACACACACATATTCACATATTCACATATACATGTATACATATATACTTGTAGAAAAGTATAAATGAGACTGGATATCTTCACAATACAAGAGATGTATTTGACCGGTTTCGATTACGTCTTCATCAGAAATACATGTATTTCTGATGAAGACGTAATCGAAACCGGTCAAATACATCTCTTGTATTGTGAAGATATCCAGTCTCATTCATACCTTTTCTACATTTGTCAACATGGATACACGTACATATACATAGATATACATATATATACATATATACATATATATATACATATATACATATATACATATATACATATATACATATACATATATATATATATATATACATATATACATATATACATATATATATATATATACATATATATACATATACATATACATACATATACATATATATATATATATATATATATATATATATATATATAATATATATATATATATATATATATATATATTATATATATATATATATATATATATATATATATATATATATATATATATATATATATATATATATATATATATATATATATATATATATATAATATATATATATATATATATATATATATATATATATATATATATATATATATATAATATATATATATATATATATATATATATAGATAGATAGATAGATAGATATAGGTAGATATAGATAGATAGATAGATAGATAGCTTGAGAGAGAGAAAAAAGCTATGAATGTCTGTCTTTCCTTCTCTCTCGCTCTCCTCCTTTCTCATTTCGTTTTTTTTTTTATAAACTGCTTTTCTTTATCTTATCTTTCCCTTGAACTATTTCCTTTCTCTCCTGCTGTCTCTTTCTCTTCTTTTCCCTACACCTCAGTCGCTCCCTCTCCCTTTCTCTCTTTCTACCCTGCATCTGTGCCTGTCTCTACATTTATCACTGTTATCTTTGTCTTCACCAGTTATTTGTCTCTGCCTTTTACCCTTTCTTCATTCTTATTAGGCTGTCCATCTCTCCTTCCCTCTCTTTCCATATTCACCTGTTCGTTCCTCCTGGCACTCACTCTTATTCTTTATTTCTATATTCATTTTTGCTTGTCTCTGTCTCTCTCTGTCTATCTGTCTGTCTCTCTTTCTCTCGTTCTCGTTTTTTCTCTCGTTCTTGTTCTCGGTCTCTCTCTCTCTCTCTCTCTCACCTTCTCTATTTCATCCCTTCCTTATCTTTTTCTTTCCCTCTCCCTGTTTTCTTACTCTCTCGCTAGTTCTCTGTTTGTCGATACGTAAGCACACACACACACACACACACACACACACACACACACACACACACACACACACACACACACACACACCACACACACAACACACACACACACACACACACACACACACACACACTCAACCACACAAACGGAAACACACACACACACACACAAACACATCCTCACGCGTGCACACACATTCCCACATGAATCTGTTTGCACATGCTAGGCTATGTTTACTTGCCTGTAGCTTATGAGCTTTTGTGTTCACGTTGTGTTTACATAAAACAGGATGGTCTGTAAGCTCATTCGAACTCTAGATTGCTGTTGCTAGTCTAAAAACGCCACTAGAGGGAAAATATACCATATACTTGTATCGTTTTCGTCTTTGTATATATTTTTTGTATGTATATATATATTTAGGAAAGGGAAAAATAATATACGTATTCATATTTCATTTTACGAAGGCTTTCAAAATGGATGGGAGGTTTATTGTCGTAAAGCGAATGTTTGTTCCTTTGGCAACGCTCCTCAGATAATGTCATGATTCTTTGTTCTTTTACATTTCAAATTGTTTCGTTTGAATTCTACTAAAAAAAATACTTCCTATGCGTAGAGGATAATATGATTATTCTTCATCATTAAAGCTAGGCATCAGTTTCATATTATTTGGTAAACTTTCAAAATGTAAAAAAAAAAAAAAAAAAAAAAATGCGCTGGAATTCCCGACACGGAATAAAAAATGGGACATTCTCATTCCAGAGCAACATACTGGAACCATCGACACATTTGTGAAATACCTAAATATCCAGAGTATATATATATATATATATATATATATATATATATATATATATATATATATATATATATATATATATGTATGTATGTATATTATCTGTATTCCGGTGTGTATATATACATATTCATATGCATCTACTGTATAACTATGTTTAGGTATATATATAAACACGCAAAACGAGAAAAAAATATAGTATATATATGCTGCACACACACACACACATAATCTATCTATTTACCTATTTGTCTATCTATCTATATACATATAAGCCTATATTCGCTGTCCACAAAATAGCAGTGGAATTACAGAAAAAGTGCTTATCTGTCTATCCATCTACCTATCTATTTATATTCATATATATTCGCTGTTCCACAAAATAGCGTTGAAATTACAAGTGGAAAAAAGTGCTCATCATAATCTTCAAAGTATCATTCCACAACAGTCGTGCTTGCCGGTGTT